ATGAAACTATATATATATAGGCTATAGTTTGCCTCAGTTTACAGTTGCTGGGGAGGTAAGTAGTCTCAGCAGATATATAGATATAGATATAGATATAGATATAGATATAGAGAGACAGTCAGAGAGAGAGAGAGAGAGAGAGAGAGAGAGAGAGAGAGAGAGAGAGAGGGAGACTGCAGGGTAAAATGGGAAATGTCAATCAATATTGCTTTTATCTTAGTGGTGAGTATAGAAGGCTTGTTATATTTCTTGTATTGCTTTTTATTTAAACTATTTCAGATTCTAAAACTTTTAAATTAAACAAAAGTTATTTTTTCTAGCAAAAGAGTTCATCCCTAAAGGGAAAGCAAAAACTGAGTTGGATAGGAAATTTCAGAGTGGGACTTGGCTGATTTTTTTCAGTAAAAGTCTAGCTAGTAGATATTTTCCGCTTTGTGGGTCTCATGGTCACTGTCTCCACTGCTCATTCTGCCCTTACAGCTCAAATCAACCATAGACTAAAAGTAAATGAATCACATGGCAGTGTTCCAGTGCCGTTTCACTTGCAAAAACAACCCCAGGTTGGCTTTGGCCCGTGGGCCATAGTTTGCCTCAGTTTACAGTTGCTGGGGAGGTAAGTGGTCTCGCCAGATAAGCAACCACAGGCTATGAGGATCATCATGGGGCTGTGAAAGCCCCACACATGCCTCAAGAGAGTTAGCTGGGGAGTTAAATCACTACCCTTCCAGCCCAAGAATCAAAATCATACATGAAGTACCTTTAGTTGTTGAGGCTGTGGCAATAGAAACCTCACAAAAATAGCCCCCAATGTTTAACATTGTTGGGGGTTCGGGTTTAGATGTTTTTGTTTGGTTTTGAGTCTGCTTTCACTTGGGCGGTGGGAGCAAGTTTATCTCACATGCACCTATGAACGTTTAGCCCCAAATGATTTCCTTTGACCTTCCAAGAATGCACTAAGAATCCTTGGGTCACAGAAAAGTTTCAGCCCCCATCCCATTTACCACTCCTACAGAGCTCAGTTCTGCCACACATTGACCTCTAAAGAAACTCAACAAAGTCACTCTGGAAGTGAGTTCAAGAACTTCATGGCACCCACGATCTGTGATCCTTTCTCGTTTGCATATATCTGTTAGGACGAATGATCAGCATTGGTGTATCCTTTCCTAGAAATGAGGAAGCTTTCCTGCTCCACTGTAGAGCGCACCTTCAGGTCTTCATATGTATAGGAAGGGTTGACAGAGGACAGTTGTGACTTTTTAGCTGCCTAGATACTAGACTACTTTGGCCTGCACAGCTCTTGTTCTGGTATCTACAAAGGCTAGGCTCGCTTAAGAGGGTGTTCACTTAAGAGGAAAATGCTTCCACTACTTCTCTTTTTGCACAATCAACTTTGGCCAACACAGTCTGCTTAGGCCATCAGCATTTATAGACCTGGCACCCCTTGCAAATTGACAACAATGTCGGGCCAGAAAAACGGTTAATAAAACCAACAGGATTTATTTACGAGCTTCTTCTGATACAAGCCAAACACAAGATGTGAAAGTAAAATGAAGTATCCTCACGCTGTCACTCCTGGCAGTCGAGGCAACATTCCTGAGTGGTTAATTGTGTGCCAGCCATTGCTCTGAATAGCAAAGGGGTTCAGGACAGAGCAGGACTCTGAAGCCCAAACTCAGGTCTAGGGGATTTGTGTGCTGAACTGAGGTCTAGGGGGTCTGTCTAGGAGGTTGGCTAAGTGAAAAGAGAGGTGGGCGTATTCTCTCCTCCAGTGAAACCAATACAAGCCAGCAGAAAACCACTGGCCACAGCTGGCTTAGCGACCTGAAGTACGGAGGATTCGTCTGAACAGTCACTATGGGAGAAGCACTTCTTGTGTGCTAACATGCTGTTGAAATGCATGCTCCTTGGTGAGCACACTGTTGCCCTGTGAAGGCGAAAAGGAATGAGCTGTGAGAAAGGAGAGGGAGAAGAGCCTGACTTGGCCCCTGTCACCTGGATGCCATCAAAATCTCCTCCTCCTGAAAACTGGAAGTTTGCTCTTATTTCCAGGGTCCTATGAAACACAACTTCTGGGGATGTGTGCCAGATGTTCTGAAGCTGATTTCAAGCATTCAAATAATGCGTTGTGTTGATTACCACATCTGACGCTGCTGACATGAAGAGCTTTTGTCCCAAATTGATTTGAATGTATTTTAACTCTGTTCCCCCCGATGACAATTCTGACCTGTTGAACCACAGTGTGCCATCTGGAGCTTCCGAGTGGTTCATGTGGGGCTGTGGTGGGCACTAGGAGCTGAGGGCCAGGTGGGACTCACAGACCCTCGGTTGTGTTTTCTCAGAATGTTAATAATTTCAGAATTGTTAAAATGGAACCAAAATACTTTCTTTTTTAAAGGGCTACTGAGATCACAAATTGTTCCACAAATATAATAAACTGAGTAAGCTGAGTGAATCCAATACTCCGTGTTCACCATGGGCCTGTTGGAATCATGGCCGTGTTCTTACAACACTTTATGTGTGGAACAAGAGAGGCATGAGAAAAGTCCTTTAAAAACTTGGCCTTAAAGTTTCAGTAATTGTGTTGGACAGAAGGTTTTTACAGGAAGGAGGAAGGAGGATGAGATGGAGGAGCAGAGGAGAAGGTAGATGAGGAGGAAGAGAACAGGATGGAAAAGAGGAGGAAGAGGAAGAGAAAAAGGAGTGGGAAGAGATGAAAGAGAAGGAGGGGAGAGAGTAGAAGAGAGAAAAACAGAAAAATATTTCCCCCTCTCTGCTCTTGGTTTTATATGGCTTTATCCCAGAATCACCTACATTAACCTAACTCCCATACTTTTGGTAGTATCAGTGACTGGAAGACTTTTATTTGCACTTTAGAGCACCCATTTAATTGTTTTTCCTAGGCTCCTCTTGGTCCTTCTCCAAGAATAATCCATGCTTTTTTCTTGTACATTCACATTATGGGGTAACCAACTTAAAAAGAGGAAAGGTTTATTTGGCTTGAATCTTGGAGGTTTCAGTTCATGGATGATTGGCCCCAGTGCTTCTGTGCCTAAGGAAGAGCAAAAGATCAAGGCAGGAGTGTATGGCAAGGAAGCTGCTCACTTCTGCTAGCTGGAAACCAAGAGCAAAAGAGAGAGAAAAAGACCAGAGTCTACCAGTCTCTTTTCCGAGTATCCCCTCAATGAATAAGCCCTCCTGATAGGCTCTACCCCTTAAAGGTTTCACCCCCTTCCAACAAGTGCCAAGTCAGGGATCAAGCCTTTAGCACCAAGGACTTTGGGGCATTTAAGATCCAGAGCATAGCAGGGAGATTTTGGAATTCAGAAAACCTAGCACAGTGCTTACTCTTGAATTAATACTTTACAGAAAGTCATCATGCAAATCTCTTTACTGCTTTGACCTGGACTAGTAACAACGATGCCAAAAATAATTCCAGTATAGCTGCTCTACACTGATGGATACCCTGGGGCGCAGAGCTGGGGTCCTTGGATTAGATACTTCACATACCGGTTTTGTGAAGATCTTCAGTCTGTCTTTGCCTCAGTTTCCTCATCCATAAATGAGGGAAAGTAACAGTGCTTGTGTCATGGAACTGTGATGATCAACTGTATTCACACATGAAAGGAAACTCTATGCACGTCTGATGAGTTTTGAGAACCAGCAAATATTAGTTGCTCTGATGGTAATATAGAACTTGAAGAGTTTCTTATAATTGGTATCACATTTTCAGTCATTTCTATATGCTTATGTCTAACAAGTGTAATAGAATTATACTATATAACCAAACAGTGATATTTTATGGATATACCCATTTTAGAGTGTGAATGCTAATGAACTGGACTACATGCAGTTCTATGAATACTAAAATACACAAAGAATGAATAAAGGTAATAACAATGACACATGTTGATGACAAGGATCATGTTTGGAGTCACAGTTATAACCTGACATGGGAGTCATCTCGTATCATTGGTCCTTGATTATTCATGAAGATATAAAAATTTAAAATGTGACTTAAACTGTGAAGTCCACATTTCACTTGAGTCAGTCAGACGTTGGTTTTCCTCTAACAAGACGTGTTTTAGGTGGAATTCTCTCCAATTCCTGTTTCTGCTGAACTCATGTTGTAATCTCCCAATACCCAGACTGGGAACAACCGTTTGCATTGGCATCAGATAATTTTTATGTGGCCTTGGAGACTTCTTAATTCACATCGAAGGGTTGCTTTCCACTATAGGGTTCTAATTTAGGATTTATTCAAGAGAGTTGAACATCTATGTGCAGGTGTTAAATGCTGAGTGCTGTTTATGAGCAGAGATGAACCATTAGTGTTCTTAGCCATGTGCCTTGCTATCTTATGTACATATTCTTGAAAACCTTGGGAACTTGCCATTTATTTTTAACTTACTGATTTTTCTAAGCCCATTTGTATCTAGTGGTGAACTTTGATGGTCCGGAGGTGAGGTGGATGCCAGGCACCAGATCCTGGCCTACTCCTCAGAAGTCATCGTAAACCGGGTCACATGAGCCAAACTCTGTGGGTCTCAATTTTCTTCACCACATAGAGGCTACTAACACTAGTCCACCTGAGGATCAAATGAAATGCATGTGGAAAGCCCACTTGGCCTATATTAAAACACAATATTGGTTAGGTCAGAACCTTTACTGGTACTTCTTCCAACGTGCCCAAGTCTTTTTTCTCTTGGCTTTAATTCATTCCCCCCATTACTTGTTCGGTCAGTGTTTTCTAACCGTGTTTTGAACTGCTTCCTGACCTCTCTGCCTTCTGGGCGCTATTTAGGGTAGTGTCATAACTGTCGCCAAGTGTACAATTTAATCCTTTCTCACTTCTGCAGCTCCCGGGCATCCGGCAGTCAGCCAGCCCCACCTGACTGCGCCTCCTAATGAAACCAAAAGGCATTAAAAGGGAGCCGCGGATGCTGCGCCCGGCTGGCCCTCGCGCTCCCCACCCACCCACTGACTCTCTGCTCTCCTTGCAGGATGTTCCGGAAGCTTTCTCTCTCCTTCTTCCTGCTGGCCGTGCTGGTGAAAGTGGCTGAAGCCCGGAAGAACCGGCCGGCGGGCGCCATCCCCTCTCCTTACAAGGACGGCAGCAGCAACAACTCGGAGAGATGGCAGCACCAGATCAAAGAGGTGCTGGCCTCCAGCCAGGAGGCGCTGGTGGTGACCGAGCGCAAGTACCTCAAGAGTGACTGGTGCAAGACGCAGCCGCTGCGGCAGACGGTGAGCGAGGAGGGCTGCCGCAGCCGCACGATCCTCAACCGCTTCTGCTACGGCCAGTGCAACTCCTTCTACATCCCGCGGCACGTGAAGAAGGAGGAGGAGTCCTTCCAGTCCTGCGCCTTCTGCAAGCCCCAGCGCGTCACCTCGGTCCTCGTGGAGCTCGAGTGCCCCGGGCTCGACCCGCCCTTCCGACTCAAAAAGATCCAGAAGGTGAAGCAGTGCCGGTGCATGTCGGTGAACCTGAGCGACTCGGACAAGCAGTGAGCGCTGGGCAGGACGCGGCTCAGCTCCGCGCCCCGGCCCCCGAGCTCCTCCCACGCCGCCTGGCGTCCCCCTCCGCAGCCAGCACGCCGTGGGGCTGACAGCCCTTGCCACCGGCGTGGACCCCAGGTGGAGCAGGGCCCCGCGCTCCTGGCCGGCGTGGGCCCCACCCGCGGTGCAAACTCGGTGGTGGCTCAGAAGACGCCGGGACCCCTCCCCACCGCGGCGCTCAGAGAGGACTTTTCTTCGGGACGCAGTGCCACGCCGGCCTGACGCCGCTTCCACCGTGTGGAAGCGAGTATTTCGGGCCTCTCTCAACGCGCCAGCTCGCTTCCTCGCGTGCGACGGAGGCGTCACTCTTCAAGAGAAGCCCCTCGAGTTTCTCCTGCTGGGTCCCCGCGCCTCTGGAACGTGGAGAGCGTTCACGCTTGAGACGCCAGCGCTGCCCTGGGCTGCTGCGATGCCGATGTGGACAGTGTCCACCAAAGCGATGTCCGTGAGCCGCAATCTCCTAAGAAACCCGACAGCGAGAAGACACCGTGAGCCGCTTGGGTCCTCACTGTCTCTCGGCAGGCCACGCCCTCCTTACCTGCAGACGCGTCTCCACCTCTTCTTCCTTCCTCCCCTAGTCCGGCCCCACTCGTGGACCCAAGATGAACTCTAGTGTGCATGCTATTATCGCTGCAGTTAGAATATTATCACACACAAGGTCTCTATAGTAACGCTGGTTTTATAACTGACCTACATTGTAAAGAGCTGTTGTTGTTTTTTTTAAGTATTCTAATTCTTTCCATGTATTGTTTCACGTGTTTTGACCCTGGCTTTTCAGGATGCTTCTGAGTAGGGTGGAGATCGGGTGATGCTCTGTCCAGAAGGTACTGTACTCAGAAGTAATGCCTGGCCAGCAGTTTACTGCCATGCACTTGTTTTGGATTGGGCAGGAGATGGGGAAGTCATGATTCTACTTTGAATAAGGCATTGCAGCACGTGTAGAAATGGGGTTGCGACACATGAGTGTAGGGAGGGAGATTTATTGGGGAGTTTTTAATGCAAACCCCTTATAATGTTTAATGTGCATACATGGGGGGAGTTGGTACTATTTTTACTGCCATGATACTAAGAAAAATAGCATCTTCTGTTAAAATAAGAGATATTTAAGAATATAAGGAATCAAGTCACTTTGTGATGCAGGAGGAAATATAGGGTAAATATATAGAAAATAGTCATCTAGTTGAAGAGTCCTAGAGAAAGTAACTAGTGTCTTTTCCAAAGAATAGACTTTAAAAACCACTTTAAAAACATTAAGTCACCATTCATTACTCTAATGTATTGTTTTAAGTTTCTGTATTGTGATCCCTTGAAATAAGCAAGTAACATAATTTATTTTCCTGAGAAATTATACCCACGTTGAGTCTCTTTGCTAAACTGACTCAGCAAGCCCTTCTGTAAGTGACGGTTATGAGGACTAGCAAATGTGAATGAGATGTCACTGGTAGGAGTCAACATGCTCTAAAAACCTTGCTCTGGCAATTTCCAAGCAAGTGCTCCCGCCAAAGGGGTTGGTTGCCTAGTAACCGAGAGAGACCCTCCACAAGCTGTTCTAGGGACTGAACCTTCCTGACACTGCACAGTGAGAGCAGATCCAGAGTCAGTCACCTGGAGAGCAGGGATGGGGTGAGGTGTGGCACATTGGTGACAATTTTCTGCTGCTGCCCTGCACATTTTATATATTTGTTACTTCTTTACAACCATTTTTTACAAAAACCTGATCTCAGACTACTCTTGTGAAAGGAATCTTGGCTTCAGAAATGCATACAGACAGCCCAAAATCACTGAGGGCTAGAACCTGGGGACTGAGACAGAGTATACAAGGTCAGGACTGATTTTTGCATTTAGCAGAAAACCTCAAGTAGGCTCAGAACAGAAGAAGCAGCAGAACAGCTGTACAGGAAGGAAATTCATGCGTCCCTCACAGAAGTCGGCAGAGGAAGGAGGGTGGGAAGGCAGCGGAGGCGTCTCCTATTCAACTGCAAGGTCAACCCTATCATCTTATTAACACAGAACCCACATAGATAGGGGAAGGACTGAGCTAAGAACTCACAGAACAGAAACCTGAGCCCTGTCTTAGAACCCAATCGTGGGTGTAGCAACGAAAGCAATGTGATATGCTGCAGGGTGAAGCTCCTTTGGGGGGTTATTGTATGTACAAAGTTTACCTTACAATGGCTCAAAATGTATTTAATAGTTTTCTGTTTTGTTTATAAAGGAAAAAAGTTATAAGTATAATGTAATTATTTTATAGGTATACTATTAAATTATAGAACAAATAAAGATACTCTAGGATTCTATGTGATCCCAGTGTGCTGTGCCATAAAAGTGGAATTCTAAACTTGTTTCAGTAGGTGGCAAAGGAGTTCTGCATGTCCAGAGCACATCTGCCAGGCCACAGTAAGCTGGACCCCTGGTCCTCGTCACATGTCCTCCTGGGGGGGCCTGACATCACCAAGAAGAATCAGAGTCAGATGTTGAAGGAGAGGAGGTGGTGGTACAGGCTCTCAGCCCTGGTTTGGGTAGCGTCTCCACTTCTACCTTATTCTCCACCAGCTGAAAACAGAACATTCTCACTATGTTCTCTGGATAAGAAGTACCGCACGAGGAAGGCCGGAGAAGCTGCAGCAAGCAGAAGCCCCCTGTGAGCCTCCTCTTCCCTTTGGCAGCCGAGGCGCTGCTCTTGTCTCCTGGCAGGCTCAAAATTGTCATGAGTTTTGTTTGTGTTCACACTTACTTCTCACGGGTTTTGATGTTTCTTAATTTAAACACTTCTTAGTTTCACAATGTTGCTATTTTTCTACTAATCAAACTGTCTGCCACTCGAGAAACTCAGTGATCAATAAAAAGTAAAACCCTTAATAAAATTGCACATGGTTGATTCACTGCATGAAATTTCAAAGAATTAAATTCAACTTATGGACAAATATTTCATCTTAGTTCAAAATATTTTGCTTTGACTTAAGGTATTCCACCATACTTGGCTGTCCATTTTTTTTTTTTCTTTCTATGAGCACAATGTATTTATTGAGGGAAAGAAAGCTCCTGTCTAAGTGAGGGACAGGAGGGGGGCCCGAGCAGATTGTCCCTGGGAAGCTCTCTCTTCCAGGGACGTTTATGGAGGAAAATCATGTGGCAAGGTGGGTTGAAGGTGGTGGAGAAGACATGGGAACTCGCTTAGTTGGGCATGAGACGGGACAAAACCATGGTCAACCAGTGAAATTACAAGCTCCATTGCTCAGGTAAAATTGATTAAATCCAGGACCAAATGAGGAAGCGAGTCACGTAGCAAGTGGGTGTGGATATGGGACATGGTCTCTTCCTGTTGGGGGTTGGACTAGTGACTCATTTGGGCTCTTTCAAGGTGATTGATACCTGTTTAGGATATCAGTCCCTGATGCCCATCCCTAGGGAACTATGAAGCTGTGTTTCTTCTTTTTGTCTTGGTCTTGAGATGTGTTGGCTGTCCAATCCTTGAGTTAGGAAAATGAATTTTTGCTATTGATGCGAACAGTTTAGAATGTGTGTTCCTAGAAAACTTATTTAATAATTGATCAATCACTGCTGATTATAAATGTCTACATGAGAGATAACAATAAGAGCAAACCAAAAATGATGCTAGAAAGACTCGCTGATTGTCAGGTGATCTTCAGAATATTCTTTTTTTTTTTTTTTTTTTTTTTTCAGAATATTCTTGAACCTCTACCTTGCCACACTCCTCATTCAGCTTCTTGGCGACTATTTCATAAGCACAGCAGGCTGCCCATCCACTTGACCAAAAGCAAAGGGTAAAAAGCCATCCTGTTTTGTAGGTAGGGCTGTATCCATGGATGTTCCTGAGTTACTAGCTTGTCTGGTATTTGGCCTAGAAAATGCAATAAAACAAACAAAACCAGCAAACTCACTATGACCACAGTCCCCGAGTCCTGAGGTCTGTCTAGCCTACCGTCCTTTGTCTGGTTTTTTTTTTTTTTTAACTGAATAGAGGACTGAAGGCATGGCCTTTCACTCTGAAGTTCTTTATTATTTTATTTTTAAGACAGGATTTTGCTAAATGGCTAAGTGACTGAGATTGGACTCTAGATCTTTCTTCTTAGGTGCTCAGAGTTCTGATATTTTGATATGCATCACCATACCAGGATCCTTCAGCTATAGATAGGTGATGGATGGATGGATGGATGGATGGATGGATGGATGGATGGATAGATAGATAGATACATAGATACATAGATAAAACAGGTAAAAATGTATCTGCTCTACCTTGTCTGGACTTGGAAGTTTCCTGAATGTTTTATAAAGTTAATCACCCACTTCAAGGTATATAGTATAAATACTTACCACGGCCTCCAATGTACTTGTCCCATATTTCTCAACTGGCCCTACTACATCATATCAATCATAGGGTAGATCATGTAGTGTTCTACAGAATGTCCATATAGTCCAGGTCTTTTTAGTTTATACTTTGACACAGGATACAAAATCTTAAATAGGCCAGAGAGGCAACACCATCAGTATAAACTGTTGTTTATCTCAATGCAGAGTGCATCTGGCTTTCCTTCATGATAAGGATAGCAAAAAACCAAACCAATATAGTGAAATGAATGGGAAGGCAATATAGCTGCCACGGTAATACTCAGGTTTGGGTGAGTTTCATTGATTTTCCCCATTCCTTCTGGATCTCAGCATAGCTCTTCATTTTTCTTTGCTGGGGTGGTAAGCAGCTTCAGAGCCTCTACTTGCTCTTCCTCACTACACAAATCCTTGTCTAAGAGGTCCGGGAATCAATGTCAGTGAGTTACAAAACACTGAGAGTATCCTTTACAGTTATGTATTTGGAAATGAGAGAAAGGAGCCTTCAGTTGGTCAAGGGAGCAGTGGGCCCACTGAGAGCCAGATGTTAGCTGGAACTCTAGGAGCCGTATGTACCTCTGCTGTAGTAGGGAGTTGTGGTGACTCATTTGATCTCCAGATGTTACTG